GGGTTTGGACAACAATGTTATTTTTTCATCACAGTTCTATTTGGGAACGGCCAATATCTGGGGCACTCACTATGTGAGGACTATAAAACATTCTGCTTCCCTTACATTGGGTTGTGGTCTTATTTTGTTAACAGTGTATCATTCTAACTTTCACACAATCTCTCCCACTTATTTCAGAAACCTTCAGAAACGTTTAATGTAAGAAAAATGGGGAACACCTTTCTTCTTTTTCCTTAGCAAACCTTGTATTAATGGTTGTGAGAATTTTACCTATTTAAAATTATTTTATTTTAAATATATAATATATATTATTTTAAGTAATATAATAACATAACATAACATAACATAACATAACATAACATAACATAACATAACATAACATAACATAACATAACATAACATAACATAACATAACATAACATAGTAATGTAATGTAATGTAATGTAATGTAATGTAATGTAATGTAATATAATTATTAAGTATAATGAACAATATTAAACAAAAATCATCAGATAGAAAAATAATCTGTTATTTATTTATATCTATATTATTTTTTAATAATGTCTTCTAGTGGATCTTGTTGAAGATAGATGTAGCAATAAAACTAAAATAACTAAAAAATATAGAGTCAAACAATGTGAAGCACAAGTAATAAATGAGAAACATGAAATGAAGTCATGAGTAAATAATATTCTCTCCCTTAGCAAAGAACATCCATGTTTTCTTATGTTCACTATATACCCAGTACAAGTCAAATGAATAATGTAAGGGTCAATCTTGTCTCCAGAGGAAAAATATGTATTACTAAGAATAGTATGATTATCAAATGTACATTCATTAATTCATTCATTTAAATTATAGACATGGATGACTGTTCCAAATGTCCAGAAAATCAATATCCAAATAAGAAACAAGATTCATGTCTTCCAAAGAAAATATCTTTTTTGTCCTATGAAGAACCAATGGGGATAAGTTTAGTCACTCTGGTATTTTTGTTTTCTCTCTGCACAATTTTGGTACTGGCAACATTTATAAAGTATCACCATACTCCCATTGTCAAGGCCAATAACCGAAATCTCAGCTACATACTACTCCTCTCCCTCCTCTTCTGCTTCCTTTGCTCAATGCAGTTTCTTGTTGCTCCTGGAAATGTGATATGCCTTCTTCGACAAATTAGTTTTGGCATTATCTTCTCAGTGGCTGTTTCTTCTGTGTTGGCAAAAACCATCACTGTGGTTCTGGCTTTCATGGCCACCAAGCCAGGATCCAGAGTGAGGAAATGGGTGGGAAGAAGACTGGCCACCTCCATTGTTCTTTCTTGTTCCCTGATTCAAGCAGGTATCTGTACAGTGTGGCTGGTCACATTTCCCCCTTTCCCTGATACTGACACCCATTCAGAAATTGAGGAAATCATACTACAATGCAATGAAGGTTCAGCCACCATGTTCTACTGTGTTCTGGGGTACATGGGCTTTCTGGCAACTGCCAGTTTCACAGTAGCTTTTTTCTCCAGGAAGCTCCCCAACAGTTTCAATGAGGCCAAATGTCTCACCTTCAGCATGCTGATCTTCTGCAGTGTGTGGCTTTCTTTTGTTCCGTCCTACCTGAGCACCAAAGGCAAATACATGGTGGCTGTGGAAGTTTTCTCCATTTTGACTTCTACTGCTGGATTGTTGGTCTGCATATATTTCCCCAAATGTTACATAATTATTGTTAGGCCAGATTTGAACAACAAAGAACAATTAATAAAGAGAAAATATTAATAATTCAAACAGTCCTATTTCTATTATTTCTCTCTTACAGTATCCAGTCTTTTAAGCCCCCAACTTTAAATATTATTGATATATTTATTTATTCATTTAGGTATTTATTATTTTATTTATTATTTTATTTATTACTTTGTTTATTTAATTTGTCCAAGTGTAATTAGTTACACGAAGAATTTGTCTCTAATGCAGTAGCCCTCAATATGTATGCAAAGCAACAGAATAATTATAATCATCATCATAATATATACTAATAGGGGGAGTAAAGAAGATAATAATAAGAAATAATAATACTACAGCCATACTACATGGATAAATACACATAGACATCACACAGACAGAGAATTAGATGTTCAGCAGATTGATGGCACAAGTGTATCCATGTCTAATTGTTTTGGCATGCAATGCCTTATTGTGCCATCCCAAGGGAAGGAGTTGAAACAGTTTATGTCCAGGATATTAAGAGTTTGTAGATATCTACTATCATTATTTTTAGTATCTTATTTTTTTAATTTCCACATTTTAAATCACTAACTTGGGGGTAGGAGGGCAGTGTTTTTTGGTATACAAACAAAGCTTAGTAATTGTTACATTAAAATTAAAAATCTGAAAAATGAGGAGGGCATAGATGTATATAAGGATGCAGCTCAGAGAAAAAAAATGATTTGATTCAAGTTGCTTAAAAACCCCAATATTGAATTCCAGAAATAAAATAGTCAATAATGGAAAAGCATTAAGTTCCTTTGACATGGATCTTAGATAGTTTGGGCTGAAGCTTAGGCCTGAGGTAAACAGTAAGAAACAGTCAAGATAAAGAAATATGTTTATAGCATAAACACAAAGATTTGTATATCCATCATTTCTCTTGTGTAGTATTCCTTCTTTGAAATTTCCATTATTTTCACCCTTGATATTTATACTCTATGGATTATTTTGTGACGTATGTATTGAAGAAGAAATCTTTGGAAGTATTCTATCTTAAAATAAATGTAGTAAATCTTCATCAATCATCACTATTCAGGTACTTTTGAAAAGAGTTATGATTTTATTTAAGAGATTCAATAATAAAAAATCATAATAAAAAATCAAAGCCTATATGTTCCCATTTGATGGGAACATCAAAATATATGACATAGTTTACATCATGGGATGATGAAAAAAGTCCGAGTGCTTGGTTGGCCAGCAGGTGACTGCTGAAGGGCCTGTTAGGCATGTGCTTAAGGGTCTTGACTCAGTTGCTCTTATATCTGCTGTAGGACATCCATGGGACTGTGAATGGTAGAAAACCTCTTTGAGAATATAATATGTGTGCATTGGGCTGGATCAGTGTGCAGAAAATTATGGCCACTTGTTAATTTAAAAATCTCAGTGATTTAAGGCTAAGAATTATGGCCCCACTCTTTATTTAGCTCCTCTTCACAATGCCAGAGCATCCCAGAGGAGCAGGATGCAGAGCAGGGCTAGACAGGATGCAATGGGCACTTCAGCAGTGGAACCCACAGGGTGGAGCCTAGTGCCCTCCTTTTAGGGGTGGCAGGGTGCTGCACCACCCCTGGAAAGATGTGCCTGGCAGAGAGGAGCGCTTCAATTGCTCCACACAGCAACCACTACATCCCCCGTCTCACTGCATCCAAAGCAGCTGCCCACCTCACCCAGAGTTACCGCATTAAATGGGAAGGCAGAGGCCCACCCCTCAGGATGATGATTTGCTATTGAGATCTACAGCAATTTGTCCTGTGCAGTCAATTTGCTGGGGACAAAAGTCTGCAAATTGTCCATGACCAGTGGTAGACAACCAGTGGTGGGGTAAAAATGTTGGCAGAAAGCCATCTGAAGATAAATGGCCATGGTCGGTCAGCTGTGTTGGTGGGGCCATAGTAAAGTGGGCACAGCCATGTGCCCACAGTTAATTGTCCTAGACTCTCTTTGTGGATCTGCCTCTTCCTGAAGTGTATCTGCCCATTGTACTAAGGGAAGGGGTGCATGCAATGTTCCAACTTTTCAATGTTGTCATCCAAAAGGCAGGACACTTTCTGGGTAGCAGCCACATCCTTTGAGATACCATTCCCCAGTCCTGGGCCTTCCAAAATGCCAGGTGATCTGGCTTTTCCCAAAGCCTTGGAATATTCTGGGACTGAAACCATGTTAAATTCTAAAGTTATGTTTGAATGTGTGTGGAAATGTGCTGGTTTTTTGTGATTATTTATGACAATAAATGTCCAGGGTGATTCTGCATAACATAACATGCATTGTTATACAATTCCATTACATACGTACATACATATGTACAGTACATCATGTTATGTGCTAGTTCATAGCTTCTTTATTGCATGCTAATTAATGTTTTTGAAATATTATATTATATTTGATATATTAAATCTTCAGGTTTCCATCTTTTGCTAAAATGTTAAAATAATGTCAGCAGTACTTGATTTCATGCCTTTGATCTTTGAAGGGTTACGATCATTATGACTCAATTTCTAGAATGTGAACACCACAGATACATAAGACTCATTTATAAGCAAATATAGGAACAATGAATCAAATCTGAATTTGTCTGGCTACATGTGTGCGCATGTGCATTTGTGCACACACACACACACACACACACACCTCTTTAAAAATGTCTTGGTTGTACTGGTTCTTAATGGAAGTGATGTGTCCATCATTGGGCTCCATGATCTCTTTGTGGCCTTTGATACTGTCAGTCAATATATCCTTCTGAATTGGCTGCAGGAGTTGGGAACTGGGATCAGAATTTATGGTGATTCTTGTTTTTCCTTCATGCTTGATTCTAGTTAGTGGTGGAGTGGATGGAGAAGTCATTCCCAAAGCTCCTTTATTTGTAGCACTACAGTTTGATACTCTCTCCTCCCTTGTTTATCATTCACATGGTTCCATTGGGTGAGTTTATTCATCAGTTTGAAATTTAGTATCATCAACCATAAATTTTATACCCTAATAACTTTTGAACCCCTATCCAGCCAAATGAGTGTCTTGAGGTCCTGGGGACTGTGTGGGCCTGGGGACTGTACGGGCCTTTCTGGGGAGGAATCAGTGGTGGGATTCAGCTGGTTTACACCACTTTGGCAGAACCGGTAGCTACTTTTTTGTTGCCCAGGCCCAGAATGGACTTCTGGAAGTGGCATCCACACAGAGAACCAGCTGTTTACATATTTGAATCCCACCACTGTGAGAACCAACTCTGACTCAAGGCTAGTGAGGCTCTAACTCATGGCTGAAAACATTGGTTCCTTCGCCCCACCAGAACTGAAGGCTTTTCATCCATACACTTGGATGAGGCACTTCATATTCATGAATGATGTACAAATTGGGGGTCTTCTTGGACCCACAACTCCTGTTCAAATAGGTGGTGATAGCTGAGGTCAAGGATGGAGCTTTGCCCCTTCCATCTGATGTGCCAATTGCATCCTTTCTGAAATTGAGAGAGATGGCTACTCATACCCTTAAAGTGTTGTGGTATTTGGAAGCTGTCCTGAGATATGTAAGAAGTCTGGCATTTAAATAAAATAACATCAACTACTGCTACTAATCTATGAGGTCACCATCAGCAAATAAAAAATGGAATTGCTAATGCTGTGTTCAGAATTGAGAAGTATATCCTTAGTTCCACAGAGAAATGGAAATGTAAAGGTTGCACTTTTCTTCTCCCTCCTTTATAATTATCAAAAAGATTATTATTAACTTTACTGCTTCTCAAAGCTCTGATCAGCAACTTATGTTTACTTGGAAGAATGAGCAGTAAGAGCTGATGAGTGATTTATATCCTTCATGTGTTTTGAAAATTTTAGGAGAAAGAAAGCTCATTTTCAGAATGACATGTCCAAAATGATTCGGAACAGAATGGGAATGATGAAGAATAGAGATGGATTCATTTAAGCTTATCTATTCTTGGAGACTTGTAAGCATCACATGAAAATAACAGAAACCTTGTCAACTGGGTCATGATGATATTGATTTTTCTCCTATTATTGCCACATATAGCTTGCAAGGCTCAACCAATGACATGCAGAATCCGACACCCTATCCCAATTGTTCACAAATATGTCCAAGCAGGTGACCTCATTATTGGATGTGTTACTTCATTCGTCTTCATAAGTAGAGATGTAGAAAGTTTTGAGGAAGTTCCCAAGAATTCTGTTGTTGGTGAACCACTGTAAGACATTATTAATATTTTCTTTATTGATATTATTATAGGCCTAGTTTATAAACCTATTTTGTGAGTCATATGTAATTCCAATATTGCACATATAAATTTCAAAATCTAAACAAAATAATACTTTTCAATTCATACATGTTTTCAATGTACTTTCTAAAGGAAATCTATAGTAAGTTTCTGTAATCCTTAAATAAAGAGAGTAGAGAATCAAAATAATTATTCAGTCCTTCATGATTAACAGATTCTACACACTTCTGGAGATTATAGCATCATCTTCTAAAACTGACTCTTAAAGAAAGAAAAGTTATATTTGACCATAGGAATAATACTATACAGTCAGAGATGTAGCATATTTTACTTCAATAAATAAAACACTTAATAAATAAATCTGCCTGTTTGAATATGTATTGAAGGTTGTTGGAGTGGGGAGAGGATAAATAGATGTCCTTAGGCTAATTTAATTAGTCTTATTCTGGTTTGGCACTTTTTTTTTTTTTTAGAAATTATGATTTCACTATTATATGAAGTTCTTACAGTTAAAGTTAGAAAAGTATTGCATCAAACCCACATTTTGCTACTATTATTTTTAGGATACAAAAATCTTTGGATTTTGCTTAAAATTAAACTGGTTTTGGGAATAATCCAGGATTTTTCAATGGCCTATTAAGATAGTATAAACAGCTACAAAATATGTACTACTCAATAAACATAACTAAACTAACTATTTTGTTAGTTCTAAAATAGGACTTACAAAGATAAAGGAACCCAAAATCAAAATCCATGCCATTTCTTTACCATCTTTTCAATTAAAATGAAGTCTTATATAATCAAAGAAAAAGGGATTGCATTCCACAGCTTAATGTTTAATCAAGTTTAACCTCCATTTTACATGCAGGACAAATGCTTTGCTCAGTATCATATGAATAAAATTGTTTAACAAAAGTTTAACAAATTCATGAAAAGCTAGTAATGATTTCACTGAAAACTGAACGGTAACTAATTTATCAGTTAGCATTATTCTTACAGAGTTTAGTTTGATTGCCCTTTTTAGATACAGAATTTCATTTGATATAGCATCTAATTCCCATTGCAGAATTCTGATCAAGTATTATCAGCATATTTTGACCATGATATTTGCTGTGAATAAGATCAATGAAGACCTTCAGCTCTTACCTAACATCACCTTAGGCTTCATAATCTATGATAGTTATGGTGGAAAGTACACATATCATGCTACAATGGAACTTTTTTCTAGTCAGAGCCGATTCATTCCCAACTACAAGTGTGGCATCTTGAGCAAACTTGTATCTGTCATTGGGACTCTTGATCCTTCAATTTCTTTTGATATGGAAGATATTTTGGGCATTTTCAAAGTTCCACAGGTAAGATGCATTAATGATAAGTTGTCTTTGCTTTGTATTTTCAGATAGGGGGAATTATAAGTTATTAAGATATATTTAATTTCATATACATTTCTGTAAAAAGTATATTACAGAAAATGAATTGATTAAAACATAAAGCAATGTGAATTCATTTTCAGAATTTGATATAATGATAGGTCAGTTTTAACAATTAACCACCAGTAATGTTAAACATTCCCTATTGGGCATGAGTTTTTAATTTCTGCAGTTTTTCCATGCAAGGTGATATTGTGATGAGCAATATATAATATAATGTTTCCATTTATTTATTTACATTTTATTTGTTTATTAGATTTATATGCTGTCTTCCATTCAGGTTTTTAAGATGTCATACCCAGTGCTTTCACTTCCTATTTTTCTTTCCAACTACCAAATGAGGTAGGTTGGGCTGTGAGACAAATTGAGGGGTCCAAGGTTAAACATTGAGCCCCTTTGACTGAATGTGGATTTCAGTTGGGTTATCCCATTCCTCATGCATCTCTTAATCATTGTAGTACTTCAAAGCAAGACTCATCATGGTAGAATTTTCAGAATAGTATATGTGGAAATAAATTTGTTGTAGTATATGAATGAGGAAAGGATCCATTCCAGAAACGTATTCAAGACTCAAATGTTGGAAAACAATATATCTTGGAAATATTAATCCGTATGTTAGAGCTATACTAGATCACTGTTTAAGAAATATCACTGCAACAGATTTAAAAAGGCTCAAAAATAGGATAGCAAAAAGCTTTTATAATTTTTTTTCAAATGCTTCTACTCATCATTCCCTTTCCCCCAATATTTCAGTTTTAAGCTGACAGGAGACAGCCATTTTGGTGTAATGATTAGGGCACCATGCTAAAAATCAGGAAAACATGACTTCTAATAGTAATTTAGGCAAAAAGTCAGCTGGGTGACCAGTCATTCTCTCTCAGTTCTAGGAAGGAATCATTTGCAAGTGCTTCTAAAATCTTCCCACTAAAACTCTAGGGATTAGTCCAACATGGTTAGTCCAAAGATGGTTCCGTCCCAGGCGACTGATGGACCCTACTAGGTTCCTGACGGAGCTTGGGCCATATCCGGAGGATCTAGTTCATGGCTCGGCGGAAAATCAGGCGGCAGCTTGGGAAATGACCGCTGCCGCAGCACTAGACCAAGTCGTGCCTTTGCGGCCTCTGACCCGGCATAGATCTCGACTGGCTCCTTGGTTTACCGAGGAGCTGAGAGAGATGAAACGCTGGAAAAGACGCCTAGAGAGCAGCTGGAGGGCCAGCCGAACCGAATCCGACCGAACACAGGTAAGGACACGTGTTAGATCCTACCTAGTGGCGATGAGGGTGGTTAGAACTAATTATTATTCCACTCTCATCGCGTCATCAGATAACCGCCCGGCCGCCCTCTTCAGGGTGACCTGCTCTCTCCTTCAATTGAGGGGAGGCGGGGACCCCCTGGAGGGGAGGGCCGAGGATTTTGCACAGTATCTGCATGACAAAGTCGCTCAGATCCGGGAAGGCTTGGACTCCGACTGGTTGGCCCAGGGGGAGGAGACGGGACCAGGTCTTGAGACGGTTGTATGGGAGGAGTTTGACTCTGTTGCTCCCGAGGACGTGGACAGGGTCTTGGGGAGGCTGAATGCAACCACATGTTTATTAGATCCGTGTCCCTCCTGGCTGGTACTGGCAGCTCGGGAGGGTACACGA